ATACCATTTATATGACCATGTTAACATGGGTTAGTGTCGGCTCATATACCCATTTACCTAACACCCTGTATACAGGGTGAAATAGTAGGTAGGTAGGTAGGTAAATACTTTTCATTTTGAGTGGTGTACAATAGGATAAGTAATAAACAAAATATCTATCTAATGCTATTTAAACGCATATTAAGGGTCACTTTGGGTATTCGACCTAGAAATATTGAAATCTATATATACAGTGTGTCCGGGCTTGTAGTGATCAAACTTTAAGGGGGAAAACTAGGGATAATTTTATCGATAAAAGTAGTTCAAATTTGGGGCTTGACCCATTTATCGCAAAATTACAGGGATTTAAGTTTTTAATTCTTAGTTTTCACCTCTTCCTTCAAAAACAAGTGAAAGCGTGGGTAGCTTTAGAAAACAGCTTGTAGACATGACTCAGAAGTGAGATTAGTCAGTAATTCTTCAGCAAGGTTTTATCCCCTTTCTTGAAGAAGAGTACCACCACGCTTCTGTTCCATGCCTCTGGCGTTGTTCCCTGGAGTAAGACGAAGTTAAATAGTATCTGAAGGACTTGACTTTAATATCGATGTTCCACCCGCGTTCAGAAGCTCCGAGGTTATTCCGTCATCACCCGGTACCTTCTTGTTCTTTAGGTGTTTGAGAGCCATCCTAATCTCGTATAGGCTGATAATGCTGATATCCACAATATCTTCGTAGAGGTATATAGCTGTCCATAAAACTTTTCAATCTCACCCAGAATCTCGGCTTTTGTTGACGTTACACTACCTTCCGCAGTCTTCAGCTTCGTAAGCTAGCTTCGCCCAATAGAGTAGTCTCTTGCGAACACTTTCGAGCCTTGGTTCCGCTCTATCGCCTCTTTAATACGATTTGTATTAAAGTTGCGAACATCATGTTGCAAGGACTTCCATATCTGTCTATTGAGCTGCCGATGTGCCTTAGCGTCAACGGAGATCTGCAGAGACATTGAACGTCGTTCTGCTATGACGTTGAGGGTAAGGAATCCCTATGGATCCCTAGGGAGAGATCCCTATTACAGTTTTATAGTTTTTGGATTATTTTAATTTTGATATTCATTTCGATGTTGGTTCTTTCTATTGTATTTCAATGTTATAGGAATCTGATGTTGATGGTTACCATACCAATTTGTTAAAAAATTATAAGTATTAAATAAGTAGGTAATATTCTAGTATTATTGAACAATTTTAACAGATTTTGACTAAAATTGCATTGACAAAACAAATAAAATAAAATGAATAAATCAACATTTAGGTCAATAAAAGTGTGGCAAAATTAAACAAGTGTACTTATTCAATGGAAATATTCGTTTTTGTAATACCTTGGTTGAGGCAAAACTAAATAAGTGACATACAAAAACTAAATAACTGCAACTTAGTTGTAAAATACGGTTGTGGCAAAACTAAATAATTACATTTTTATTTTTTTATTTAAAATAATACAAAGTAACATCATCGAATACTATTGAATTAATGAAGGTAAATTTGCTGTATAAAATATCAAAAGACCGACAGTAAAATATTTTTACCCTTAAAAGTTATCGCCATTTTTAACGAAAAAAAACACAAAAACGTGAATATCTCGCAACTTTGGTTTTGTCAGTTATTTAATTCTGCCACGACGGTGACGAATTTTGTAGTATTACTGGTTAATGATTGTAACGAGTTGAAAAAGTACTGTTTTTGTGCCAAACGGCGTAAACGCTCTTAACTAATAATTCAAGGCACAACTTCTCAAAAACATTAAAAGCTAGCCCTATAAAATTTTAACCAACTGGTTAATTAAGATTTTTAGTTGCTTTAAAAATATAGTTTCATCGAGTTAGTGAACAAGTCATTGCTGGTGTCGAATTATTCCCATTCTCTGTAAACCAATTGCCCTCATATACAGGCAAATTAAGAGCTATATTTACTTTGCTCTTTGTACCTACCTAGGTGTAACGATCTACTTCAAATTGATCTATATATTTTAAGTATTGTCTGACTACACGATTATGTAGTTAAGTCAACGCCAACAGAATGGAATCTTTGAAACAATTTTTTTTTTTTTTTTTATCCACAACGAGGAAGCTCTTGGCCTGTATCTCATCTGATGGTAATTTTGGTATTTACTTAGTTACCATAATCTGTTGACACTGACTACAATAATGTATGAATAATTACTTTTATAGGATAATTTTATGCATAATCTATAACATTTCTAAGTATGTATACAGATTACAGTGTACCTAGGGGACACATGGCAAAAATCAACAGTGAAATCAAATCACTGTTGATTGTCAATAAATCAACAATATATAAATATTATGATGAATATTACTACTTTATCGTAAATTGAAATTTAATTGCCTAGGAACTCTAACTCATGAGTCACAAGTTCACAACAGCAGGTATTAGTAGTACATTTTTAAAGCCAGGAATTTTCCGATAAGTTTATCGATGGACAACTCACAGAGTAGTGTTATAGATTTTTTTTTAACTCTGAATCACTGTTTGATTTTTGCCAAATTGTTCCATACATCCACAATCCACATACATACATATTATATTTATATCATAATTCATAATAATTTGTAAAGCTATGTGGAAGTATGTTGTGTTATTATCATTCTGTGTATAGCAGCACTAGCTAAGAAGAAACAGAAAAACTATATTTTGAAAAAGTTAAACATTTACAAACGGCTAAAATTCAACATCTATAAAACTTCGACAATACAAATTGCAAATACAACACACCCAAATGACTTTTAAGTACATATTACATAGTATATAGCTCAAAAATATTATATAAAATAAATTTTCAGACGATATTTACGAACACTTGTATATTTAAACTATGTTAATATTATTTTAATGGAATGTAAAATATATTAATATATTTTTCATTACTAAACACGTAAAAATAATATTTTTATTTTAAAATCATAAAACTACCACGATATTGGATTAATATTTATTTATGTTATCGAATTGAAATAAAGTGCTCGTAATACCGTCTAATATAATTATATTCTAATTACATTAATATACATTTTAATATAATATATTTTTCTATTTTAACTGCAATAATATACCCAGTCCTTAAAATATTTAAAGGATAGGTACTCTCATTGTCCGGATTTAACTTAAAATAGGTTAAAAATCACAATGCAAATGTATATTTTTCTAAGTGTAAGTACATTATGAAATAAATATTATTCACGGATAATTATAATATTTACTAACATCTGACGCGTAAATGGCGTAACTACGACGCGACGCGCTCGCGAAGTGACCGAGTCGATACGTTTCCTTACCACTTGGTGGTAAATAAGATAGGGCGTGCTCACAAATAAATCTGTGGACGTGCTCAGGCTAAATGACCATTATGATATCAATATCAAAATATTTGCTATTAAATTAAATTAATCATTAAATTAATGAACTAAACAAAATATTATCGGTAGGTTTAATCAATTATGCAGGTACGATTACGAATAAATAGCTTACTGAAATCAACAATAATAATCCTAAATTGCAGGTATTTTCTAGGTAAATAGGTACGTGAATGTTTAATGTAATGCCAATTCATACTTATTACGATTATAGACAATATGCCTCTTCAATCGCAACAAAATTAATATTTAATTATTTTGGCGGCAAGAGATAAAATGATTTTATAAACATAATTCATGAGTATTTTAAGCGTATATTGTAGGAAATAATAAATATTTATTATGTATCCGAATCTAAGGATCCACTTAAGCATTATTTTTTACCAACTTTAGCTATGTACAGTCGACAGCACATCAAGCTATACATTTTCGTTGCAAACTCGCCCCTATCGCAACTACGTAAGATACCACAGTGTTTACGTTGACGTGCTGTCGACCGTACCTATTACAGGTTTTGTTTTATACACCCTGTATACTAACTTTAAACTTTCAACTATTTATGTATAATAATTTGATATAATAATATTATTCCCTAAAAATTAATAGTAAATTCTTAAAAAATTGACACTCACATTTATATGGAACAACGTTGCTATATTTTAAGTAGGTACAATCGAGCACATCAGATTAATATACATTATTTTTGATGCATAATCATATTACATATATTACAACAACATAAGTTGCTGCTTAAAGCTTCATGTGCTTTCGTGTACTACATAATTTTGTTGTACATATAATTTATACGAATGTGTATACTCGTAATATGAAAGTATGGTAAACTTATACTTACATGGAATAATTTATAGACACCGATTAATTCAAACTAGTTTATTATTATTATAATTTTAAATTAACTTATTATGTCATTTAAAATTTAAAATTATGTAAATTATATTAAGTTACTATTATCTATGTAGTTTCATTTTTGGTGAATTGTTTATGTATTAGTTGTTGTGTACATTAATATTTGCATGACTATCCAAAATTACTCTCTACGTTATTATGCCAGAATAAAATTATTCAATAAATTACGTTGATTTCATTTTTTTGCAATTTCTATACTTCACTAGTTTATGTATATTGATAAAATAATTTAAATTGGTATTATAAGAGTAAATTACTCCTGCGCGGTAGCAGTCAAAAACTTTTGGTGATACATAATAATGCATAAATCGTATCTAGGATATTATCCATGTAGCTTATCATATCGTATGTGCTCTCTAATATTCGGGCCAATCATGTTAATTGTTTATACAGTTTTAATAACAGTACAGTACATATTTAATAAATTATTAATTTAAACGTTGACTTAAAATGACGTATGGGTTTTTGCTATTTTCCACACATGTAAACAAAATTCTAGTGTATTTTCCTATACTAATTATTAACAAAATTACTAATTTATTTATAACAACGTATGGCAAATTATATTACCCTGTGACGTTATAGGTATGGGCTATAAATTATAAATTATGGGCTAAATATTATATTACAACATTTCTTAAGTACTATGTTATAGGCTAATATATAGTACTTAAGAAATGTTGTAATATAATATTCAGTATAAATAACATATATCTATGTATAAATTATATAACTGCCCTTACTATGCCTTTAGTTTTGGCAGTGATACTAATAAAGCTGTTAAGCAACAATTGACCTTCAACATTAATTTGATTTTTGAAGCAGAGTGATCTCACGCACTGTTGTGACGTGTTGCATGTCAATTATTGCCCAACATACAGCGTAAATTATTACTCTTAAAGTTACAAATATGGACAACAATATTATTAAAATCTTATATCTTGGTGTTATAGGTGGAACAATACGTTTATATATATTTTTATAAGGTAGTAAAGTGAAGACTACATTGAGACTAGCTATGTAAAGATACCTACTACAAACCACTACTAAGTAGAAGCTGCTAAGTATTAAAACTATTTACGAGTATTAAGTAAATATATTAAATAAATATGTTTTTGGGCTGGCAATACTAGTAATAATTATTGCATAATATATTTTTATTAAGAAGTATTTTTTGATAAAATAATTGCAAGGAAGACTAATTGTTTAAATACATTTACAAAATATGTAAATGTATACGAGAATTGTAAACGAAAGTATAATAAACAAAGAGACTGTTATGATAATGTCAACTAACCAGCACTCTATATTCATCAAACCAAATTGGAATGTGACTAATTTATCACCCAATAAAGGGTATTATACTTATACACATATAACCATTTGTATACAAATATTTAATTTGCTAAAGCTTCTTGAATTTTATTTTGCCTGGCAAGATGAGATAAGTCTTCAGAAGTTAAATAGGGTTTTTCTATAAGAATAGCTGTCTTGACAATAAATAAATTATTTGAATCAAGTAATGTTAGGTACAGTGCATTATATTTTTTTACGATATGTCACGGTTTGCTTTAAATTTTGTTGGCTAGTTGCTGATATATTTTGATAATATATTTCTAACAAACAAAATAATCTACATTCAGTAGTATAATCACCGTCAGTTATAGACGATTAATTAAATATCGGTTTCTTTGAATATATTGTTAGGATTGTCAGAATTAAAGTGAATGTACCGTGAGTTGGGCGATTCCGCAGCGTTCTCGGTTTGATTCTCGGTGTCGTCAGTTTTGGCGTGCTTTGGCGATGTCTCTGAATGGAATTCTTGGCGGAAATTACCTGTGAAAATGTTATTAATCAAGATAAATATCAGTTAAAGGTAAATTATATCTTAGAATTAATAAAATACATGCAATTATTTGGGGCGTAAAAATTATTTGCAACAACACAACTGACATAACACAAATACTATATGTACAGGGTTTTAATAAAAATGTGCAAATAAAAACAAATGTATACTTACAAGCAAGGGACACTACGCAAGTCAGCTACTGTAGGGACTATGAAGCGGTTAAAACAATCTATAATAGTGCTAATTCTGAATTGTATTAACCGAGATTCTTTAACAAAAAGAATATTGTAAATTTTGAAGGTTCAGTCATCAGAACTAGCACTACTTTATAAATAATATAATATGCAAAAACACATGGTATGATATACAAATACTTATTTACTGTATACAAAATAACAAAACAAAATCAGTGCGGAATGTTTATTAAATATAAATTCTAACACCACGTTACAAGGAATCGGGTTTTCAAGCCAACGGAAAACAAAATAAATTAATTTAAAAAGGGAACCGTTCAAGTGAATTGCTTATTATAATAGGTGTATCACCTATTTGTAAACGAATCAGAATTAATACTTACAGAATTAAAGCCCGTATTTTAGAGATGTCCAGTGATTAATTGACAATATTACCAAATGAATGCTTTATAAATAAATATGGAAACATAACGCTGGCTTTGTGCTTTTAAAGTTAACAGTTGACTGTTAAAATACAAAAATGTACTGTTAGCCATTGGGTATCTTCTGATTGTCTTTTTTACTGCACATCTCTGTATCAGAATCTAAAGCCGCGTGGAGCCACACATTGGTTATTATTTACATCACAATAGTAACATACAGCCACCAACGCATACGTATTTTCATTTCTATCTGACACTTTCACTTTGAGTGAGAGGGATGGATTGATTCGAAACTTCGGATAACATCGGTGGGAGAAGCACTGTGCCACCCGGAATGAAAAGGGAAAAATACTTTTGTCTAATTTGTAGGTATATTTAATTTTATATAGATACATTATCCAATGTGTGAACGCGACTTAAGATATTAACCCACTTCGTTATTGCACTGCACCTTGCAAACATTAAAAACTCTAACTACATTATATTACACTTACGAGCAATGAAATGGAAAACAACTATTAATATTGAATATTTTACATTGCATTGCTTGTTGATTTACAGTCTTAATAAATAGTGACTTTAGTTATAAATATTAACTTTGGAAGTTAAAGCGTGGCTATATTGCAACAATTTGTATATAATTTGTATATATTTATATATGTATTCAAATAATATTTACTTGTAAGCGAAGCGCTAAGCGATATGGTTACATGGGTTGGTAAATATTTCTAGAATAATACACATGTATACATGAGTGAAATAAAATAGTTTGATGATTTTTTGTCAGTAAGTGTTCTTACTACATTATTAGATTTTTAGTCACTAAATACTATATAGTAGTGTAGTACTTTTTGCTTGGTAACTAAATATTAAGCTTAGTTAATTTGGTAAGAAATGTTGAACACTTCTGATATTAAAAATAATGTAAAAATAGTCTACTTATGTATATACAAAGATATTAAGAATAGCTTACAATCTGCTTGAGCAGTGCTAGACTAGAACAATTTAAGCATTTGGTATATTTGTATTGTTCTGTACAAAAAATGTAAATAAAATATTGCATTATTATATACGCAGCGCAACGCTGTAAAACCACTAAAACGAATATTGCCATAATTAAAAACAGTATCTACAAATTGAAATTGCAAATCGCTTGAGGCGAATTAGTACCTACTTTGTTATAATTAATATACAAAGTATCATTTCAAAACGATAAATGCTAGAATAACAACAACAAAAAATGATTGTTTTTTAAATAGTAAATTGGACGTTGGAGAAAGGTGTTATAAAATTGGATAAGATTGAAAATCTAAAAAAATTATAAAATACTTCCTAATAGTGCAAGTTATTAATTTAAGTAAGCGAAAACAACTAATTCATGCGATTTTAAAATCAAACCAACATCCATGCAAAACTGTTTTTTGGGTAACAGTAAAATTATTTGGTAACTTTAGTTTAACTACGCGTAAGGGACACGAAACAATTGATAATTGATCTGAGTGACTTTCACTTATGGCTGGGCCTGAGTACTTTGTGGGGTCACTCACTTAAACTAACGTCAAAAATCTGTCAAACTCCATACAAAATCACTGGTTATCGTTAATGTTGTCAAAGCAAACTTTAAAAGTTACTATGGCGATAACCGGTGCTTTTTGTATGGAGTTTGACAGATTTTTGACGTTTGTCAAAGTTAAAGTAAGATGGTGCAACCCAGCCTAAGTATACTTCCGTTAAAATGCCTTTTTTTCTGACCAACTTTTTTTTCTACTGATTTGTATAAGAAGTGGAGTTAAATCGCAAACGAGTAAAAATATTCAGACTTCAATTATTCGAGATAAATATTGAATAATCAGTATCAATAACTTTGTATTGAAAACGTCACACAAGCAATGAGAAATTGGCAACACTATCATTTCAGGTTCAACGACCGATGCCATTGGTCAAGTAGGTATAAATCGTTTCATCCACGAAGACGCGCCCCACCAATTTTTGGTCTCGGTCGCGCGGGGTGCGGGGAGTTTGATCCGAGCAATCCGAGCGGCATGATTCTAGTGTGCGTGTGCAATCATGGATAATAATTTAGCGTGTACCGATAACACTCAAACATTAGCGGAAGAATGGTGGGGCGCGTCTTCGTGGATGAAACGATCTATACTTATTTAAGGTCTGCAAAGACGAATACCTTTCGTAGTCTACGAATTATTTTTAAGTTGGTCGTCTAAGTGGGCCCTAAGTACAACAAAACACAACAAAAATACTAATATAAGTGCAAATGTGCAGTTATTTTGCCTTTTAAATTAAAAGTATTAAAATACATCATCATGTATAATCATCAGTGCATATTATGTCTACAAATAATGTTATTTGCACAATCGGGCTTTTCACAGTTACGCTCGACGCGCTGTTAATCGTACTTGTCAAATAAAATCCAGAAAAATAAAAATAAAAACTACAGGGCGGCGCGCCCTGGTGGTCAATAAAATTTGTGTTAACGAAATTCAGTCCTTATTACCAGTATTTATGATACATTTTAATTTAAAAGGCATACATTAGACTACTACTACGTAAAGCTACACGATAATGCACATACGGTTCCGCCAAAAGGAAGGACTTGGGATGGGTTTTGGTTTTGGTATTCAACGAATCACAGACTTGTATCTATGCTTTATCTATGGTCAATTCAAAATCGATATATTCGAGATTTTAGTCATCATAACACACGATTTTCGTGCAATAGTTTGTCAGAATTTTGTCAATTGTGTTTGGCAAACTTATTCATAGGTAGCTCTATATAATTAATATTAAAAATGACTACTTGTCTTTCTTTTTTAATGTCACGTCATAGGGACGAAACACACTTATCAACCCGGAAACGGATCGTGACCATATCAAATCAAGGCTGTCAGTGTTCTTTGTACGAAACCCCGTACTGCAACGCACACTTATCCGCACCGTAACGTAAACGCCTCGCCTTATTTGACAGCGCGGTGAAATTCGATAAGTGGGTCTAGACAAAGTGCAAATTATAATCGCAAACCAGTCGCAAAGTCGTCGAAAAGCCCCTTTTTTGTATGGAGTTTTGACGGATTCCATTTTCGATTCGATCAAAAAGTGCGTTTTGTCTAGGGGGCAAGGTATTGATCCCTTTCTGGGTTGATTAGTGTGCTATGACCTTTAAATGTTCCTGACAAGCATATCGTAACATCATCGTCACCGCAACGGGCCTTTATCGTTCTCGCTGTCTCTCCTACGACATAACCCACAGCACTCCCAAATCAAGCACTTCCAACCTCTTTTACTATCGGTCATCGAACTCCTTGAAACTTTCCTACTTTTAGTTTCAAAGCCATCATTTATTAAAGCATCCAATCGATTCTTCAACTGCGTCGGAGATACGCTCCTATCCCGATTAAGTTTCGCTTTCGGTTCGACGTACGCGATCTCCGTAATTTCATCCGACGATGACCTTTCTATATTTGGCGTGTGGGAGTCTATGCTCTCTGGCGTGTAGGGGTCAACGCACTGACGAACTGTCAGCAGCGTGTTGTCTATGTCATTTACGAATATACCGTCATAACTACAATAGTCTGCGTTGGTTATTTCGACGTGGGGGATGGTTATGTCGTGGAGGGAGGACGTTTTATGGAGGGGGGAGGTTTTAGGGAGGGTAGCGGGGGGTCTGAGGAGGTCGGGGTGCGTGGGACGACGTGTTAGAGCGCGAGGGGGCCCGCAAAGGAGACAGGGGAGCTTGCTGTCACAACACTCTAAGGTACCTCGGTCCGATTGCAGCATCACGCGTAAGTAGATCGGCTGAAACAATGGACATACTGTTATTTTCGTTTAATGCTAATGTTTTAATTCTGTTGTCAGAAACTTTACTCTTCTCTCTTCTAAAATTCAGTCTAAATTCTGATTCTGATGCCAGAAAGTCATCAGAAAGCAAAGATCAGTTACAGCCTCACAGATAAATTATAGCGGTATTAGTATGGCATTCAAAAGAATCGCCAGTAAGCAGTAGTTCACAGTCATGACAAGTTTGAACACAGTTTAGTCACACCGGTGGTTTGCGAGGTGACTGCACTAAAAAATAGCGCCCAAGACTCTCAACCTAGTTATAGATGACCCACGCTGAACTGTCCCGCCAAACTCAATGACAGGGGGGCGCTACCATCGTTCAACTATATGGTTTCCAACACATATCTGTGGTTTCCAACATGGCAAAAATCTGAACCAACGATCCGGTATTGACGGTGGCGCCCCACTGTCAATGTCATCGACAGGACAGTCCAGTATTTTGGAACTATACTAGAGGTAGTTATTGTGGCAGTGTCATGACGGTGTCACAGTGTCATAGTGGCATTCATAGTAGCGTCAAAGTCACAATACAGTAGAGTTGCAGCGATGTCGTAGCAGTCACAGTGTTACCGCAGAAGTGTTGCAGCAATCTAACCCCAGTGATAAATAGATACGGTTTAAAGTCATGCCGCAATAACATCCTTGCTACCTCTGACTGGTTGCGACTAAAGCCCGGTCTCTGAGCACGTAGAATTTTGTCCAATGACCCCAAGCTACCCATCCTTATCGCTCGCGCGTAATTACAGTCCCGTCGCACAGTCGCGACAGCAATATTAGTTAATAGGTTAATAGGCTTTAGTTACGACGCAGCTCGCACGACACGCCGGGGCAGGGCTTGGGCGAGCCCTCTGTGGTTGCGACCGGTTGCGACAGGCTCGCGTCTGGTTACCTTGTGGTCGCCCATGCACGCGGCGGGCCCGATGACGCCGTAGTCGTGTCGCTTGCGCGCGGGCGCGTCCACGAGCCGACGCAGCTCGCACGACACGCCGGGGCAGGGCTTGGGCGAGCCCTCTCTGGTTGCGGCCGGTTGCGACAGGCTCGCGTCTGGTTACCTTGTGGTCGCCCATGCACGCGGCGGGCCCGATGACGCCGTAGTCGTGTCGCTTGCGCGCGGGCGCGTCCACGAGCCGACGCAGCTCGCACGACACGAGCCCTCTCTGGTTGCGACCGGTTGCGACAGGCTCGCGTCTGGTTACCTTGTGGTCGCCCATGCACGCGGCGGGCCCGATGACGCCGTAGTCGTGTCGCTTGCGCGCGGGCGCGTCCACGAGCCGACGCAGCTCGCACGACACGCCGGGGCAGGGCTTGGGCGAGCCTTCCGATTGGTTGCGGACTAGTTTGCGACGGTTCGGCGAGCCTTCGCTCTCTGATACCCTGGGAAAAGGTAAAATAAAAGATAAGGTAAGGTCAAATACCTGCCTTGTCTTGCATAAAAAAAACATCTTTACTTTAAAAAAGTGAACTGCTCCTGAATCGAATGTACCTACTACTGCTATTTCTATTTATTTATATTAACCGGCAGACTGAGCTTGTTGCGGCGCTTCTTCTCAGCGCTTGCCAAATGTTGGTCTCGAAGCGCTGGTAGGGCAAAAAGATTATGAGACATGTAGAGGCTCCTTAAGAGCAAAATGACGATTTGTAAGAACTATTTATTAGTCTAAACAAATAAAGACATTTTGACTTTGACTTTGAAATTTGACAAACGTCAAAAATATGTCAAATTCCATATAAAAATACGCCGGTTATCGATATAGTTACGGTCAAAGTTAGATGGTGCAACTCAGCCTAAGTCATTTAGATAGAACCGTAAAGGTAAAGGTGTCGGACTAGCGAACTCGTGTTCCGAGGAACACAGGTTCGAACTCCAACACTGCTCGATCATTGTGGTGAACTCACACAAATACGAAACAACGCCCGCTGTGTCCTGAAGAAAAATTGTTTTTCACCTACTTTTTTCAAAAAAAGTACCATACAATGGTATATATTTATAATCCTGATAAATGTAGCTTTCAGGACATATTTTTTTATTAGATTATCTCCAGTGGTTTAAAAGTAAACGACGTTTATTTAAAAAAATACTTTTTGGTTTTTGTGAATTTTACTCCATATTTCAATTTTTTTGTATGAAAAGGCAAAAAGTTTGTTCTAGAAATGAATTCGCCATCCTTTAATTATCCGAAAATGACACCACACTTGCCCTAATACCCATAGTTTTGAAGATATGGGCCTTAAAGTGAAGCGCGGCAGAAGGAAACTTGCCCCCCCTGCCCCTGCTACCACAGGGGGGGGCTCCCGATGTCTACCGACGGAAATCTACTCAGGAGCATTCAAAGAACAACTGGTGCAAAAATGAGCCTTCTATACCAAAGTGGAGGGGTCTCCATACAAATCATTGCACTAAATTCCCTACTATACCTCGCTCTTGTTATATGTCTGCAAGCGAGATAGAAAGCAAGTGTCTGTTCGACTACGCAAAATGTCGGCACAGACAGCGTATACAGATACAAATCTTTATGTGTTAATGGCCTCAACTCTCGTTGCGCAACCTATTATACTCATCTACATTAAAAACCTTATAACAATGCACTAAGGGTCACTAACAATCAACTTTGAAACTATTTTTATTTTATACTAGCGGCCGCCCATGACTTCGTACGCGTGGATCCCGTTTTACCCCCTTTTTTCAAAAAGTATATTATTTTTTTATTATTTGTTGGCATTTTATGTATTTAATTAGTATTGCCTGTTATTTAGAATTATTACTGTTTTTCTTTTATCAGGATATACCTACCTTTTAGTTTAAAAGTTATTACGTTTTCTTTTCAATAAGTAATTGAAAGAAAAAAAAATCTATAAAATATGAAAAAAAATCTCAAAAAATTTTTGACCTCTTTTTTGTCGATAAAAATAGGTCTAGTTTCACCTTAATTCATAATGTACACTTTATCGTGACACAATGTATATTTCATGTACAGAATTGACCTCTCTACAGATTTATTATAAGTATAGATAAGATGTAATTTTGTTTTATCACATACCTGGCGTTAATAGCTTGCTGCACGCTCGTAGGGTCAGCAATACTTTTCCGGCTGACCGTGATACCTGGCACGGACAACGCGTCCAAGTCTGCTACACTGCTCTTCTTCTCTAAAGTCTTACTGGGACTAGACTGGAAAGAAAAGGACAGGTTAGCGAATAAGTTACAGTTAAAATTAATGTCCAAGAAGATACAACAAGTAGCTTATTGTCAAATATCTGTCTCTATGAACACTTCAGTGCTGCAAAAACTGCTCAGTGCTGGAAAATTAATTTGAAATCATTTTATCAAGTGAGAAGTTTTCCAGCTGGGCTAATGTACGCCATAATAAAATTTTATCGACGATTTTAGACGACAAATGTATGGGCTTATCGTGCGAAATCGCCAATTAAAAATGCCTCTACAAAAGTTTATCGTGGCCCGCATCCTAGGCCTATGGTCTGGGTGGGGATTTGTCAAGTTTTGTTTTCACTAGTCTTGGATAGAGATATTATTGAGATTGAATCTAGTTCTACATTATTTATTATGGTGCATCTGTAAAGCTGACCCTAGTTTTCAAAGGTTTTAACAAAGTTTTAACACCAGGTGCGATTGTGGTCAAATACCTGCCTTGTCTAGCATAAAAAAAAATAGTGACTGAGTTTCTTGCGCTGCTTCTTCTCAGCACTGGCCCATTTACTGTCCCGAAGCAGTGGTAGGGTTAATACTGGGACGTGTAAAAGTGCTTTTTAAAAGCCTATTTGCAAAAATGAATAAGTTTTAATGGACAACAAATAAAATAACATTCATAATGTGGCTTACTTGGTGATTTTGCCTGACGGGCGACCCAGACCTCGCCGGGCTACTGTCGGAAGACGACACTCGGCCGCTGCTACTGTCTGTAGACTCTGCTACTGATTTTCTGAAGAATAAAATAGAAAATTATTAAATACGTCCAGTTTCGTGCAGTAGTCGAAAAGATGGGCAACTGTTAGAGCAGATTCACACTAGATTCGTTCAGAATCCGTCAAAATATGGACCTAAGACTAACTGGAGTTCTACAACGGATTAATAATGAGGATTACTGATTATTTCACGTAGGGAAACTCTGAGATTGGGCGACCTTGAGACTTCTTATGAGGCCTATTTTAAAGGACAACATCCCCATTTACGTTATCACTGGAAACACCACACAAAGTAGTAAAGACCGATAGTGATCATCATAATTTTCAGCCAGTGGACATCCACTGCTGAACGTAGGCCTCTACAATGATTTCTAGATTTGTCGGTTGGTAGCGGCCTGCATCCAGCACCTCTCCGCAACCTTTTATAAGGTCATCTGTCCAACTTCTGTACAAGTGTCTGTTCTCACCTCGAAGTGTGCAAGTGCCTGTTCTCACCTGGGACTGTGCAAGTGCCTGTTCTCACCTGGGACTGTGCAAGTGCCTGTTCTCACCTGGGACTGTGCAAGTGCCTGTTCTCACCTGGGACTGTACAAGTGCCTGTTCTCACCTAGGACTGTACAAGTGCCTGTTCTCACCTGGAAGTGTGCAAGTGCCTGTTCTCACCTGGGACTGTGCAAGTGACTGTTCTCACCTGGGAGTGTGCAAGTGCCTGTTCTCACCTGGAAGTGTGCAAGTGACTGTTCTCACCTGGGACTGTGCAAGTGACTGTTCTCACCTGGGACTGTGCAAGTGCCTGTTCTCACCTGGAAGTGTGCAAGTGCCTGTTCTCACCTGGAAGTGTGCAAGAGCCTGTTCTCACCTGGGTCTGTGCAAGTGCCTGTTCTCACCTGGGACTGTGCAAGTGCCTGTTCTCACCTGGGACTGTACAAGTGCCTGTTCTCACCTGGGACTGTGCAAGTGCCTGTTCTCACCTGGAAGTGTGCAAGTGCCTGTTCTCGGCCGGGCGCGCGGCGTCCTGCTGGACTAGTAGCCTCGCGGACTGGGACAGCAGGATGCGGTCGCACCACGCGGGCACCTGTGGGACAGTGACGTCACGCCGGGCTCACCTGGGACTGTGCAAGTGCCTGTTCTCACCTGGAAGTGTACAAGTGCCTGTTCTCACCTGGAAGTGTGCAAGTGCCTGTTCTCGGCCGGGCGCGCGGCGTCCTGCTGGACTAGTAGCCTCGCGGACTGGGACAGCAGGATGCGGTCGCACCTGGGACTGTGCAAGTGCCTGTTCTCACCTGGGCCTGTGCAAGTGCCTGTTCTCACCTGGAAGTGTGCAAGTGCCTGTTCTCGGCCGGGCGCGCGGCGTCCTGCTGGACTAGTAGCCTTGCGGACTGGGACAGCAGGATGCGGTCGCACCTGGGACTGTGCAAATGCCTGTTCTCACCTGGGACTGTGCAAGTGCCTGTTCTCACCTGGAAGTGTGCAAGTGCCTGTTCTCGGCCGGGCGCGCGGTTTCCTGCTGGACTAGTAGCCTCGCGGACTGGGACAGCAGGATGCGGTCGCACCACGCCGGGCACCTGTGAAAATAATGACGTCACTTGACTTAAAACCATCCCTCATAGGCTTCATTCTTCTTGTCGTGTCGACAACAAACCTACACAGCGTCAGCCCAAAACTCCGCCACAAGAGTGACGTTGTCAGTAGCCTTAATTAAATCTTCCTGCGTGCAGTTATTTGGACACGCAGGGCACGACGTCATGTGCTTCGTTGACTGGGGAACAAATCCACACTTGCAGTACAAGTTTGAGCCATCCAAGAATCCCCACTTGAACAGATTGTCCTTACTACGGCCGACCTGCGTCCTAAGTCTATTTAAAGATTTCCATGTAGCCCAGGGGAGCTCATGTCCAGGCAGAGGACTCTCAGACATAGGGACAAAAGGGCAGGGAAGATCAGCTCTCTCACGCCATAACCTGCATCTCTCTTTTGACCGACCGTTATGAAGGAGAACACTTTTAGGCTTCATTCAAATTAGGGAACAACCTTGGAATGTGAGACCCGTCCTTCAACATGAAGGAGCATGTACGGGCGCGGGCGCGTGAATCACACGAGCGTTTCTAATGGCTCCGTCCGCCTAAATCATTCAAATTCAAATGAATTTCATTCACAGTGATATATTATAGCGTTTGACTGCGCGTATGTGGTTCTAAATCATTTTAATTCATTAGAAACGCCCGCGCCTTCTCTCTGAAAGGTTTTAAAGCGAGATATTACCATGAATGATAGCAATAGAGCGTCCCCTCCTCCCCCTCTAAAAATTAAACTGTTGGCTTAAAAAATCTATAAAAAATCATAGTAAGAGTGCTTTTTATGAACTTCCAAGGAAAACTATAACGGTTAAGTTAGATCAGTTAGTTCTAGAGTAATAGCTGTGGTAATAGTCGTTTAACTCATGTATTATAAAATTTCAAACCTCAACAACTACGGAACCCTACACTGCGCGTGACACGACACGCACTTGGCCGATTTTTAAATTTTTCTTAGTTGTGTACTATAATCGATAGTTATTAGTTACTTACACGATACCGATTATTTGAGGCATAATCGATTATTCGGCAACACTACAGTATAGTTAAGAATCTTACCGTGTCTTCATGTAATGAGTGGGTAGATGGACATCTTCCTCAAAGGGGTAGGACGGCGGGAACTTTACGGGAAACTCGTACAAGTGCGGCCGAAGCGCTTCCAACTCGCGGTCGTATCGTTGCAGCTGAAAACAAAGACTTTATTACAACGATATAAAGTTCAATATACAGCGGACACTAAATGGGAAACAAATATAACGTCGTATCAGCAAGATTGGTTGAATTATTTGTTGCTTTTCGATCTTTGATATTAGGGCTTAGTGTGAGTATACGTCAATCGTCGTCACTAGCGAGCGTGTTAAAAAATATATGAAGATTTTGGTTCTTGAAAGTTTCCGCTAGGGGCGCTGTACAATCGTCATACATTTAATGTCACTTTTTTATCGACATCAAATGCGTTTGACGTAAACTCACACTACGCCCCCTTATGACAATACTCGACCAAAGTGCGAACGTTTTTTTGTGATTAGTTTAGTTCACTCCAGTCGAGTAGGTAATTTAGCCGAGAGCGAGCAAACTCAACTGGGGTGAACACGGCTTTAGCATTGAATCCAGTTTGGACTTACTCAAGGCTCTCAGAATTCTTCGCACTTACTTCGCTTCCAACATCTTCACCTCGCTTCCTTCTTCGGAGAGTTATTGGTATTTTCACCCGAGTCTAAGGTCAAGTTTACTTACCCAAGGCTCTGAAGACCTTCTGGTGGTCTATAGTCTGGTCTGCGAGCACGTAGAATTTTGTCCAATGACCCCAAGCTACCTATCCTTATCGCTCGCGCGTAATTATGTTGCTGTCACGCTCGCACACTCACTGCGGGCGCCCGTCGCACAGTCGCGAGCGCCACAGCAATATAATTACGCGCGAGCGATAAGGATGGGGTCATTGGACAAAATTCTACGTGCTCACAGACCGGGCTTTAGATGCGAGAACTCTTTCTTCCCAACTGTTAGTACCACGCGGCCTTCGGTCGCCGACCGATATTGCAGTTTGGACGCGTCCTTAATACCTCCACTACACTACTCGCGAAGTTGGTCGAAGTTAATCGAAGTAGATAGCGTTGCACGCACTTCACTTCGCTTCATCCAACTTCCGAGAAGTATCGGTATTTTCGACCGAGTCAAGGGTGGCAGGAAAGTCCTTGAGTGGCGACCACGAGCCGGAAGACGTAGCGTGGGAAGGCCTCCCACTAGGTGGACCGACGATCTGGTGAAGGTCGCGGGAGGCGCCTGGATGCGAGCGGCGCAGGACCGGTCTTTGTGGAAATCCTTGGGGAGGCCTTTGTCCAGCAGTGGACGTCTTTCGGCTGAAACAACAACAAGGGTCAAGTTTGGACTAACCCAAGGCTCTCTGAAGATCTTCTGGTGGTCTAGATGCGAGAACTCTTTCTTGCCGACCGTTAGTACCACGCGGCCGTCGGTCGCCGACCGATACTGCAGTTTGGACGCTAAATACCTCCACTACACTACTCGCGAAGTTGGTCGAAGTTAATCTAAGTAGATAGTGTTGCACGCACTTCATTTCGCTTCGAACAACTTTCCTTCGCTTCGTCGAACTTCCTAAAATGATCAGTATACGCTTACCCAAGGCTCTCTAAAGATCTTCTGGTGGTCTAGATGCGAGAACTCTTTCTTGCCGACCGTTAGTACCACGCGGCCGTCGGTCGCCGACCGATACTGCAGTTTGGACGCGTCCGCATTGCCGCCATTTTGTAATCGGCACGCTGTCAGCTCTTCGGTTATTTTCTGGTGACGATAAATAAATATTTTGGTTATTTAACGCTGCGCCATGTAGGAACAACTAAGTTACGCATGCGGTCAAATACCAAGGCTGTTCTGTATAAAAAATGATCCACAACGGTTTTCCGCTCTTTCGAACGCGTGAGGCGGGTCGCTACATTCCCTACAATATGGTCGAGTGAAGCGATGGCTGGTTCACACGTCATGTCTGTGAACAGGCGCTGCCTTCGGGGACTGGTCAAGACAAGATATACCTACCTTAAATTTTTTAACATAACAATTAACAATCAACTTGACAGTGGCACGGCATTAAATATAAGTATATACAATTTATTTAAAACTACCACACGGTTTTGTTATGGTGCCTTGCTTTTCTCTCTAGAGTTTTCTTGCCTTGTCTCCTAAATAGTTTTATATCTGGCACTTAGCCAGAAGGATATCTTAGACTTGTCATGCTCACTAAAATGTCTCTGGGGTAGTGGCGTGTGAGGCGGGTCGTTACATTCCCTATAATATGGTCGAGTGAAGCGATGGCTGGTTCACACGTCATGTCTGTGAACAGGCGCTGCCTTCGGGGACTGGTCAAGGAAAGATATACCTGACATAAAATATATGTATCAAAACGCAACAATTAACCTAGAAATTAGCACGGCACTAAAGAAATTTATTCAAAACTGCCACGCGGTCTCGTGCTAGATGGGCGTCTTAAAGGCCACCTTCTATCAACGGGAGCGCGTGGTAAGTAACTTGCTTCTGAATGTATGTAACTTCCTACTTTTTTATTTTTAAACCGGCAGACAGTGGTGACTGAGTTTGTTGCGGCGCTTCTTCTCAGCACTTGCCAAATGTTTGGCTCGAAGCGCTGGTAGGGCAAAAAAAGAATGAGACATGTATAGGCTCCTTAAGAGCATTTGACGATTTGCAAGAACTAATTTAATTAGTCTAAACAAATAAAGATAATTTTGATTTTGATTTTGAACCTACGTAGATCTCATGTTAATGGAAATCGATAGGCTGCTTTTAGTGTCACGCGGACTGTCAGTGCGGATCGCTCCGCACAGCGGATCTGTATGAACTGCTAGGGAGCGAGTGATGCCTCCGGACCGCATTACTCTAAAACGCTCCCTAGAAGTTCATACGTTTTGAATTTGAATACAGATTGGCCGTGCGGAGCGGGTCAGCACCGGACGGTCCGCGTGACATTAAAACCAGCCATAATCCAGGCCCGAAGGTAGAAGCGATCTTTACCAGGAATCCTCACTGGTAGGAGGATTTATTGGGCCTGAGACAGGAGGTCTTATCACGAAACCACAATGATATTTGGTCGCGTGACTTATGCCCATTTTCACTATCAATCCCTAATCAGACTGGCAGACTAAAGACAGATTTCCGATAGTTGGGTCAAGCTGCTAATCAGTATGAACATGTATGGCCGATTCTTCATACAATCTTCGATGGAAGCCTACCAAACTATCGGCAGAAAATAGTCCATAATCCGTGGCTAGGCTTAGGCTGGGTTACACCATCTTACTTTAACTTTGACAAACATCAAAAATCTGTTAAACTCCATACAAAAAACACCCGTTATCGTTATAGTTACGGTCAAAGTTAGGTGGTGCAACTCAACCTTATTGTATCTACTCACCTTGACCACGCCTCCAGTATCGGTCCTGAAGTTAAAGTCCCCGAATATGAAGTAAGGCGCAGCGTTCACGTCCGAGTGCAAGTGTCTCAGCGTGTGACGTAAAGCCCGCCGCCTGCTTCGACAGTACACCTGTAGGAAAGAATAAAATAGATGTTCCCATCAACCAGCAGTTCTATCAAAAAATGGAAGTCTTTAAGTAAGTGGGAACATATTTCCTACTATAGTTTAAACCTTAATCCCTTGGCTTAGGTCAAAGTGAAATTAACCCTTTTGTAGGGTAGTGGGAATATATTTCCGGAAGTAATCCTTCTTAAGATGGTGGGAATATATTTCCCACCATATTTTAAACCTCTTTCCCTTGTCTTCAAGGTCAAAAAACAATTTGGAATTCTGAAATTAACCTGAGTGAAAGTAACCTTTATAACTTAATGGGAACCTATTTCCCACCATAGCTTAAACCTTATTCCACTATCTTAGGGTCAAAATGAAACGGTCAAAATTAAATTAACACTTTTGTAAGGTAGTGGGAATATATTTCCCAGCATGTTTAAAATTTTGAAATTAAGGGGTTTAAAATAATACCAACAGACGGGAAGGGCTCGACCGCTAGCAGGTTGCTGGCGTCGTGGAACAGGTGGATGTTTACGAACTCCAGCGCCGTCCCGCGGATCAGCCAGCGCGTACGCAGGAAGCCTTTGCGGGACCATTTGCACTGGAACAAAAGGTTTAAAGACATTTATTTCCTGCAAGAAGAATTAGATTTAAGAAGTGTTTGATATGAATTTCAACTTTAATATCTCTACTCGTTCATGTGAAAAAGGGTAGGTAGTAAGTTTATAATTATTAAAAAAATATTTTATGTCATGTAAGCAAAAATAATATTTTAAATTTTATATAACTTCAAATTTATCATTTTCGCAATTTTTCCTTTATCTGTACTATATAACGTTGCTTCGTGCCGAATTTCAAGATTCTGAGTTCACAGGAAGTACCTTGTAGGTTTTGATTCCCTAGCGTGTGACGGAAATTCGTCTAAGGTGTCGGTATAAACTGCTGTATCTTTTGATCGCGTTAACTTAGAAGTTTGATTTTTTTACTTCTTAAAGGGACAATAGATCTAGGTATTTGGTATAAATTTCAATTTGATACCTTTATTCGTTCGTGAGAAATAAGGTAGTAAGTTTCATTTTATTAAAATATTTTTATTATATTATATAACTAAAAAAATGAAGTATCCTGTAGGTTTTGATTCCTTTGCGAGTGTCGAAAATTTGTTGAAAATATCGACATAATCGGCTGTATCTTTTGATTGGCTTGGCTTAGAAGTTTGATATTTTCACAGCTTAAAGGGACAATAGACCTGAGTATTTCATGTGAATTTCAGCTTGATACGTTCACGCGTTCTTGAGATAAAGGGTCTTGACAGACGGACGGACGGACAACAAAGTGATCCTATAAGGATTCCGTTTTTTCCTTATGAGGTACGGAACCCTAAAAATGTATGCTCAATGTCATTAACAATATGGTGTAATTTAGCTTGTCTCAAGAGTCAAGCAAGTTTGTCAGAAGTTTTGTTGACAAACGTCAGTGATCGGTACTGCGCCGAAGCTATAGGGCTGACTTCGGTAAAATGATGTGATGACGTGAGGTGCCAATCTGCAGAAAATGGCGGAGGAAATACATGATTTAGCATGAATTATCATGAATAATATTAACTACTTATTTACCTCTCAGTGTCTTGAGGCAACTTAAAAAAGTACATTCTGTGTTTTTATTATTATTTAGGCAGTTAAATACTGCACAGTATTTAGTACACCATTTTCTTTTTTTTTTAGAACTTTGGCACGCTTTATCTCTTTACATTTTCATTAGTTTTAAAAAGTGAAAAATAGGTGTCGAGTATTTTTTGATAAGCTAACTGACGGACTAATTAAAACTCTTGCTTTTTACCCATGAAACATCCCTATTGAAAATTTGGAAAACAAATGAATACCTACCTACATAACCTACTTATCTATAATAATATAAACATTTAGGAAATGTTTATAAAAAAAATCCGTGTATTTCAACTTCCTTGAAAGATTACTGAAGAAAGTTGACTTTACGGTTTTTTTCCTGAAAGTTCAATTCAGTTGAACTTTGAATTGAACTAAAAGGAGGTCGTTTTACATTGAATGAAACAATCTTTAATTAAAAATATTTATACCTTAACATATTTGTATTATTTTTTCAAATCAATATTGATTTAAATTTATTATTATAAATTTATTTAATAGTGAACCTTTCCATGCCAAGCCGTTCACGAGGAAGCTCTTGTTATTATTATGACCAAAGAGCATCGCATTGGTAGTTAATATGAAATTGACACGAGAAATAGTTTCCATGGATCGATTTTGTTGCATACCTGCACCCTTAATTTATTTCAAGTCCGATTAGTCGGACGAAGTGGAATTGCGATTCCTTGTAGTCCGATTAATCGAACCAACAGGAAAAAAAAGTTCACGTGGTCCGATTGATCGGACAAAGCAGTCGGACCACGTGTCCAGAGGGATTTTCTTTATTTTTTTCCATCATACACAAGAATACGCGTGCGTGAGTCAATGTTCGCCTATTGATTATACTTTTCCTAGCGGAACCCCCGTACTACTCTGCCTGCACGCCGCGAACAACGTCGGTCACGAAACGTGGGTTAATATTTTTTACAGAACCCTTGCGGCCTTTCCACGGAACCCCAGGGTTCCGCGGACCACCATTCGGGAACCGCTGGCCTAGAGCCTAAGCTGCCTAGTGCCTGAGAAAAGTCATTACAACTCTCCCAAAACTCACCTCAGGGAAGAAATGCTGCGGGAACTTGGCCTTCTCCTTAGTGAGCCAATGATGAATGATGACCAATGCGACACTTCTCCGCTCTGCTCCGCTTTAGTGGAAAATGGGCCTAATGTACATGTTACCTAGAACCTAGTAAAAGTCGTTATAGTATTATAGTAATATAATTCTCTACCAAACTCACCTCAGGGAAGAAATGCTGCGGGAACTTGGCCTTCTCCTTAGTGGGCACCTTCTCGATGTTCCCGCTGTGCAGCTCCTTGCCCGCCGCGTCCACGTACGCCTTCAGCTCGAAGTCCCATATCTTGAGGTCGGTGAGCGACGAGTGAGCGAAGAATGTTGCCTAGAAGGCTCTAGGCTACATGTATGCTCATGCTAGAAGGCTCTAGGCAACATGAAGGCTTTACGCAACTTGCCTAAGAGCCTTGTAAAGGACGAAGGACACGTATCAACCCAACAACTTAGGCAAGTTGCATAGAGCCTAGTAAAGGACGAAGGACACTTATCAACCCGGCTACGGATTGTAACCATATCAACTTGAGGCGGTCAGTATTCTTTGTATGAAACTCCACACAGCCACACACTTATCCGCAACGTAATGTAAACGCTCCGCTCCACCTCGGTACCTAAGTAGCCTAGTGCCTAGGAAAAGTCATTACAACTCACCTCAGGGAAGAAATGCTGCGGGTGATTATGTTGCTGTCACGCTCGCACACTCACTGCGGGCGCCCGTCGCACAGTCGCGACAGCAATATAATTACGCGCGAGCGATAAGGATGGGTAGCCTGGGGTCATTGGACGAAATTCTACGTGCAGAGCGACCGGACTATAGTGCCTAGGAAAACTCATTATAACTCTCCCAAAACTCACCTCGGGGAAGAAATGCTGCGGGAACTTGGCCTTCTCCTTAGTGGGCACTTTCTCGATGTTCCCGCTGTGCAGCTCCTTGCCTGCCGCGTCCACGTACGCCTTCAGCTCGAAGTCCCAAATCTTGAGGTCGGTGAGCGACGAGTGAGCGAAGTACATGTTGCCTAGAGCCTGCAAGAGAATATAATAGATTTTTAAAGCATAGAATTGAAGCTTTTCAATCGATTTCTTTCTATATTCATCACAAAATTGCTAAAGACTGTCCTACTTTCGCGGAATACTTTGAAATAGATACCTACCTAAGCGTGAACATTGGAGTTTTACATCGTTTCATCCACGAAGACGCGGCCCACCAATTTTTGGTCGAGGGAAGCGCGTGGGTTGCGGGGAGTTTGATCCGAGCAATCCGAGCGTCATTATGATGTAGTGTGCGTGTGTACTCATGGATCATTAGCAGAAGAATGGTAGGGCGCGTCTTCGTGGATGAAACGATCTATAGGTACAGTCACGGAATGAAAAGGTTCGTCAGTTTTCAAATTGATTCCTTCAACGAATCGCGAGCACATATTACCTTTTGAAACTATGTTACAGAATAATCTCGAGTTAGAGAAAATAATCTTTAACTGTTCGTCAGTAAAGTTCAAAATTATTCAGATCAAAGTTGTTTGACGATTTATCTTGTCTAGAAGATTATTATGATTGATAAACTAAAACCTTCTTGTTGGTTCAACCTGCCATTATTATTTCTTATAAAATAAAAAAAAACTATTGTCAATTGGTCAATGTCATCATTGCATTGCACCGCCCCCCTAGACAAAACGCACTTTTTGATCGAATCGAAAATAGAATCCGTCAAAACTCCATACAAAAAAGGGGCTTTTCGACCACTTTTCGACTGGTTTGCGATTATAATTTGCACATTGTCTAGACCCACTGATGGGATAGAAAAATATACAAGCAATACCTCGTTAGCAAACGTCATGTTTATTTAAATGTTAGCAGCACTGTTTCTTGCACTGTTATGTTGGCAGGTTTGACTCTTACAGTACCTAGTGCAAGCGAAAACCGACACTAAGGTGACGAACCTTTTCATTCCGCGACTGTACCTACATGGTCATCTTACTCAGCAAAAGCTGAACCACGCTGCTAGTATTTGGGACTCTCTGGTGTCAAAATTGGTGATTGGTTCATCTTATTAATATCGGAATTAGACAAAAATAAGAAAAGTACCATTTACTTCAGTATAACATATCGGCAAGTAATATTTGAGTGACATGACAAGTGAAAATTGATTTATACCAGATAATTACAACCAATGACATCCGTGAATTGCGCAACGAATTCATGTGCAGAAAAAAAATGGTAAAATAAATATTAATTAGCTTCAAATTTCGTAATTAGGACTACAAACGTTTCAAAATGACGAGCACGATTCATACGTTTATATTTAGTCAACCTATTTATAAACTGCATTGTTATGATTGCAGAGTGCATGTATAATCAGCATGCACGCAATTTTAAGTGGTTATATTAACAGGATTTGTGAGCTTCCTGCAATAATATGAGTCATAAGCTCTAAAATAACGCACGAAAACTTAATCTTAACTAAGCAGAGTTTCTGCGGTTGTTTGAGTTTTTGTAATTTTTTGCCTCAAGGCATTTAATTTGAATCTGCGGGGCATAATTCTGAGGCCTGTATGTTCCGATCTCTCTATCGCTTCCACTTAGCCTAGGCGCAGACCACCAACTTTTAGTTGGCCGATAGTTGGACCCGATTCTAATTTTTACGAAGAATCGGCCGATACCAAATCGGTGTAATGTGCGCACTTTCATACATGCCCATATTGCCCATACTGATTAACAGCCCGACCCAACTATCGGCCAACTAAAAGTCAGGGTCTGCAACTAGCCTTAAGTATAGCGAGATTAGCAAGATGTGAATGAGTGACAGCTAGAGACAATTTTTTTCTTTTTATGCTAGACAAGGCAGGTATTTGACCGCAATCGCACCTGGTGTTAAGTGAGATGCAGTCTAGGATGGTACATATCTGCCCTGTAAGTGCCTATTCACTCTCGCCTTGAAAACGCCCGGATTATAGTGTTCAGGAAATACAGCAGCAGGCAGCGAATTCCAGTCCCTAGCTGTTCGCATTATAAACTAAAAATATCTAAAAATAAAACGGTTTTAGGAAGTATTCTGCTGGTTTTCCATTTAACAAATAAATTTCATAATAGTGCCCTTTCACAAGCAATGTTTTGAGCAATAATTGCTAAGTAGCATAATTTAATAATAATGAAGGAGTAATTCCAATTAATTACAGCCAATATTGCACATATTATTCCTAATTAGCAAACTTCCGATTGGTTGAGAAATAAACATTTCATAATTTATTTGTATTGGTACATGTATACCTAATGCATATCTACGGCATATAATTGACTCGCTCTTAGACAATAATATGGTCAACTTATTGATTGAAACGGGATTATTCCTTGTTACCTGTTCTATTCACTGCTATAACTTCTGTGTATCCAGAATTTACAGCAGTTTGCCCCAAACTGGCGACGAGGTCTAGTTTCTTTCTGAATTGTTCCACATTTCTCCTCTGCACGAAATCTTGGACGTACTGCACTGCATCGACATCTCGTACGCTTTCCCTCTCACTTCTTGGAGGTGGAGAACTAGTAACTTTGGGACGTAAAGCTATGATGTTTTCTACAGAATACTAGAGGCTGCAAGAGGAATCTTATATTCTGTGATCACTCCACATGCTGCTTTGCCAAGAGTGACGTCAAAACTGCCCCGAATGGAGCAATTTACTTAAGTAACTTACCGTGAATTTCTCCGGCGAACTGAAGTCCTCATCAAGGAAAATCCTGATCTTGTCAAAGAGTCTCAGCTCCGGGCAATCCATCAGCCTCTGTACGAAGTCTTGGACGTACTGCATCGACTTCTCGTATGCTTTTCCTCCCACTTCTTGGAGGTGAAGCGCTATGAACTTCGGGTCCATTCGCGCTACTGCTTGCAAGAACTCCGACGTCCATATTGGCAGCATCACTGACGGCTGGAATAGAGAATGGACAATATGATGAATTCTGTATTAAATCAAATCATTTATAAAGCACTTAGGCCCTTTCCAGGGCACTTATACAAGTCCCAAATTAACTTACTCTTCCACCATTTCGGGACAACATTATGGGCTGGTGTTGAGAAGAAATGGCATAAGACCTGTGTTAGTATCCGAAAACATAGCTGATTCGTAAATAAATAATCATGAAATTCATTAATATCAGTAAGGATCACTTTCCCACGCTCCCTAGTTAAGTACCTACTATTTATCCAAATCCTTGAAGTTGAATTTGACTTTTTCAAAGGTTAATTTTGTGATAGATACAAAAAAACGGCTAAAGTAGCTCAAAGAACTCATGAGGATAGGATATAAGATTTTTTGGGCGGAAACTGATCGGGTGAATTCTAAGTGCCTGAAGTAGTCTGCCATAACAAATCGTTCTAATCGTCAGCATTTAAGTTCACCAAAAGTCATCTGCAGTAAACTGAACGAGAGTGGTGGTAAAATCAATTTGTTGAGCAAGAGATCAAAGAAACCTTGGATTTTAAAACCCAATTTTCAATTTTCCTTCAGCAGTACATTTTTACGCCAAAACTGTTGTTGTTTTGAATTATTAGTTTATTTTGGCGCCAATCCAATTCCTCTGGCGCTACGACATTTAGCAGACTATTTTTAGACTGCGGTCAGTATTTATGTGAAAAATATGGAATTTCATTATCTTCGTGACCTTCTTCTTTTGCCTCGCCTAAATCCCGTTACGCGGGATCGGCTTGCATGATCATGCGCCATTTGATTCTATCCTGAACGTCTTGTTTGTGGAGTCCCAACACCTTCATGTCGTTTTGGACATTCGTCATCCAGGTGGTCATTATCTTTGCGATCCTGGATGTTTTTTATGTAGACGACACATGAAGCTAAACACAGTAGCCTTATTTCGTTGTAAATACAGACTACCTAGTTTGCAACAAAAATGTATAGGCTGATGTGCTGTCGACTGTACACAAGTACAAGGTGTACTTCCAAAGTTCTAATGAGTTAGTCATCATCATCATCTCAGCCATAGGACGTCCACTGCTGAACATAGGCCTCCCCCAATGCTTTCCATGTTACCCGGTTGGTAGCGGCCTGCGTCCAGCGCTTTCCTGCTACATTTATGATGTCGTCGGTCCACCTTGTGGGTGGTAATGAGGTAGTGTAGATCTTTAATTACGGATCTTAACAGTCATAGGACGTCAACGGCTAAACTTTGAAGTTTATCCAGTAAAAAACAGTTTTTATCATTCAGTTAACTATTTAGGATTAATTTTATCATTTTAATTAACAAGCCATCACTGTACCAATGCCAAATTCGGGCTCTGATTAGGGGCACAGGATGGAAGATATATTTTATTCGCGTATTGTTATTATTTTATCGTCCAACAATAGGAAAGCTGCGAGATACATCTAATATTAATAACTAGCTTTCCGCCCGCGGCTTCGCCCGCGTGGAATTTTGTCTGTCACAGAAAAACTTTATCGCGCGCGTCCCTGTTTCAAAAACCGGGATAAAAACTATCCTATGTTCTTTCCCGGGACTCAAACTATCTCTATGCCAAATTTCATCAAAATCGGTTGCGAGGTTTAAGCGGGAAAGCGTAACAGACAGACAGACAGACAGACAGACAGAGTTACTTTCGCATTTATAATATTAGTTGGGATTACATATTTGCGCACTGGGCAAACAATTGGGATATTTAATGTTACGATAAGATATACTAACTTAAGTCAATTTTATGTAACCCTAGTAAACGTTATTATAGTACTAGATAAATCCGCGAATCGAGATACAATAGAAATATAGATTTCTATTGTATCTCGATTCGCGGATAACAATAGTGTTATCGCGGACTCTTAGGGCTATATTTCACCGGGACACCATGGCGGCACCAACAAAATGTATACAGCTCTATAGAGAGTTATTCACCTGGTGTCCGTTTGGTTGCGCAAAGCTGCATACATTTTGTTGGTAGCGGCGACTGGTTGCGCCGTCATGGTGTCCCGGTGAAATATAGCCCTTAGGGTTTGATGGGGGTCAAGTAATTTATTTTCTACAAATAGGCTTTTAAAAAGAGCTTTTACACGGGAAAAACAGTACATAATATATCAATCACATCAGGTGATGATGATCGATCTAAGATGGAACGTGCTTGAATATTTTCTGGAAGGTATCTTAGAGACACTCAGATTTAGAACTGCGGGAAGAGAGACGCCAGAAGATATTTTGCAGATCTGTACTCGTGTCAAAGAAAAATAACTATCTTTGATATAAAGGACCACCACACGACCTATTTACACAATACGTTTTGTTCACTACTGTTGACTGTTGAATTTGAAATGACCCTTATCAGAAGATGCTTTTAAGGCCCATACAATATTATCAATTCATCAGTAACGGTACGCGAAGGAAGCTCTCCCCAGCCTCATTCATGTTTCATACATTGTTCCCGTTCTTGCCAAGAATAAACCTATGGCAGTTCGGTCGAAAATGGCTTTAAACAGCGGAAGTATACGAAACAGTATCAAACAACAAACTTGGAACTTAATTAGATCGAGCGCCAATACTGCAGGAAGGTATTGCTAAACATTTCAACCGCCTCTGTGGTTTAGTGGTAAGACCACCTGCTTCAGACGCAGAGGTCCCGGGTTCGATTCCCAGTGGGGGCAGATTATTCTGTTCGGTTTGGTTGGTGGTAGGGCTTGTTTTAAGTCAATGTATTTTCCTGACGAAAAAAAAAAAAAAAGTCCGCCTGGCTAGCTACCACCATCTTGCCTATGTCAGTCGCCATAACAACAATGTTAACAGCATTATTATGTTCCGGCAGTTAGAGGTAAGATAGCCAGTTCCTCCGTAGTTGAGGATTCCGGGTGAAGCTCGCTTCCACCTCCGGTCTGATCGTCACTTAACATCAGGTGAGATATAGGCCAAGAGCTTCCTCGTTGTGGATAAAAAAAAACATGTTTGTAATCATTTCATAATTTCTGCCAATAATGGCAGTCTCCTAGACATAAGGTTTATCCAAGGAGCAATACACCAAGAACTTCAAAAAGTTAACGGGCAATGGTACAAAAGGCCACTAATGGCGAGGATCTACAGCGTAGTTGAGAGGTGGTACTTTACTTTTCACTGGGTTGACTTTACTTTGCTACATTTTTAGTCTATGTCCATTCATTTTCAAACCGCTCCTGGCGTTGTGGTCTTCGAACCTAAGTTGGTTCACTTTCACATAACCTTTGTTTGGCCATGCCTAAAAATCGCTATTTTTGGGAAACTGACCTATTAACCTATTAGCCGCCAACCCATTTCAAAAGCGGTGGCGCGGTGTGTCCCAGCAGGCATCAAGCTAAGGCGCGTTGTTTGGCTTCTAAAGACCATAATGGCGCTGAAAAGGTTACCTAATGTTAAAAAGCAAACAAGATTCTTAATAGGCGTCGAATAAACCAATCACTGGTAGCCCTTGAAAATGTCCACGATCAAACGGCTCTGATTTCGTCCTTCACAAATTAAAGGACCCTTGAATGGGACAATAATATGTAAATCGACACTAACGAGCACAGAATAAACACATAATAACAAGGTAAATATTCGGAGTGCTATAATTTGGACTTTGTAAAGGACTAAAGGTCAAAGGGCTAATTGGTTAAGTTAAGTTTGTAAATGTTTAATGATAATTATAAGCAAGGGACTTGGATAATTTCAACTCTTACTTTATGACACCCTAGTGACCATATCTGAGTTTCTATGTGTGTTGTGTAGAGCTATCTATGACGAAGCGAGCTTTACTTGAAAATTAGCCTAAAAACAGTGTGCTTACCATGAGTTTACGTTAGGTGTGCTCGCTAGCGACTACGTAAAAAAATGACATTAATTGTATGACATATTGTGCAGCGCCCCTAGCGGCTACTTTCAAGAAACGTAACGAAAGACGTACTCGCTAGCGAGCACACCTAACGTAAACTCATGGTAGGTGCACAGAAGTACAATACATACTTACTTAGGCAGGAATTAAAACTTCTGAACATGAATGTCCACTGCTGAGCACAGGAAAATGGGATTAATTTACTTCACTGGCTGGGCTTTATTTGCGGTCATACTGTCTGTAGATCCTAGGTACACAGGAATTCCAGGAGAATATAGTCCTGATTCCTGAATACAGGATGCCATATTGATTTCCAACGAGACAGACATCAGTCTATCTGGTAGATCGTCATTTGTTTAAAGCAGATTCTACAGGGTGTTTCTTGTAAGGTGTCAATGGATGTCAATCGTAGAACATACATGGGGGCGAAATCGATAGGTCTAATATCCTTACCTATCACCAGCCTTCGGCTTGACACCTTACAAGAAACACCCTGTATACTTGAGTGAGTAGTAGGTAGTTGTACGCCAATCAAGTCTCGAACGTCATTTCATTCATTCATAATACGAGTCGCAAAAAATAAAATAAAAAACATCTTATACATATTTGATTCTTGCCGCTATCTGTATGAGACTTGCTTGCATATTATACACAAACTACAGATTTATCATGTTTACTTATACGCAATATTTTCAAACATTTACCTTATATTGTCCTATGTTTACGATTTGCTCTGCACTCGTTAATTATATTTAATTAGAGCCCACATAATGGCAATAAAAACTATATCTGAACTTGACGTCATACTATTTTTTGTATCGTACATGTCCAAATTCGACCTTATGGCCTTTTAGAATAGTTTGGACAAAAACTAGGAGTTATTTTATACTACTGTTGCAAATTAATATTATTTAATTAACGTAGCATTTATAAAAAGTTGTTATTGTTTTTCAAGTTTGAATATTGTAGTAAATAGCCGTCTGGATCAAAATCCATAGTCGTCCATCCGTAGTTTCTTGCGCTGCTTCTTCTCAGCACTCGCCCATTGTCACGAAGCAGTGGTAGGATTAAAGTAGTAATACTGAGACCTGTACAAGT